CGAATGGAATTTAGGATTGCCGGGCAGGTGGTCCGTAGGGCAGGTCTGTCTTGTCTGGGTACCCATATCGAGAATTGTGGGAGATCGGTACTCATCAATTTCGTTTCCAGATCGACCCATCGGTGTGAGCCTTCCGGTGCGTGCCAAGCCACTATTTGGGCTAATTGAGACGCCAAGTAGTATTGATACAGGTTTGGGAGTCCTAATCCTCCCTTTGATTTCGGTCGGTATAACACTTGCCTAGCTACTCTGTGTCGTTTCTGTGCCCATATAAAGTTATCTATGTGTCTTTGCAGCGTCGTTAGGTCCTGTTTAGTGACTTTGATCGGCAGGGCTTGGAATAGGAACAGCAAGCGAGGTAGCAGTGTCATTTTTATCGCGTGTAGTCTCCCTATCCATGAGATTGGCTTGTCTTGCCATTTTTCTAAGTCCTGGCATAGTTTTTGTAATGTGGGTGTGTAATTCGCTTCATACAGTCTCTCCGGGTCTGCCGTTAGTTTAATCCCTAAATATTTGATGTGTTGAGGGAGTGGTTAGCTTTTATGGCATTGATCTCTGCCGTCTCCATTTCTAGTGGCATGGCCACTGACTTATCTGAATTAATTTTATAGCCCGATACCCGTCCGTAGTCCTCGAGGAGGTCGAGGAGGCGTGGCAGGGAACCCCGAGGGTTGGCAAGTGTGACCATGATGTCATCTGCATATGCAGAGACTTTGTATTCCTCCCCTCCTGCCTTAATGCCCATAATGTTCCTATCCTCCCTTATCCTCAGTAGAAGAGGCTCCAGTGCTAGGACAAACAGCAGGGGGGAGAGGGGGCAGCCCTGTCTAGTGCCGTTGGCAGTCTTGAACGGGGTCAAAGCTGTCCCCGGTACCGCCGTTTGGGCTTGTGGTTCTGTGTAAAGGGCTTTTATTCCCTTTATGAATGTTTCTGGCATACGCAGGTGCCCCAACAGTGAGAAGAGGTAGTGCCACTGGACCCTGTCAAACGCCTTCTCCGCATCCAAGGATAGGATCAGAGAAGGCGTCCGAGTCCTCACCGCCCACCATATGACATCTGCCCCCCTCCTGGTGTTTTCGTTTAATTGTCGAGATGGTACGAAGCCGACTTGGTCTGGGTGGACCAGTGTACCCAGGAGGGGATTGAGACGCGTCGCTAGGATTTTTGCAAACACCTTAACATCAAAATTAATCAGTGAGATAGGCCTGTAGTTCCCGGCCTCCGTAGGATCTTTACCTGGTTTGGGGATGAGGGTGATATCTGCTGTTAGTGTTTCTGGATTAGGGTGTCCCCCGTCCATCCATTCCATGTATACCTTCACCAACCTTGGGGTCAACGTGTCTCTAAGGAGTTTATAGTAGGAGCCATCGTAGCCGTCTGGGCCCGGTGCCTTGTTCCCTTTGAATGCTGTGATTGCCCTATCTACCTCGTCCCCCTCTATCGGTGCACCCAGAGTCAGTATGGCTTCCGGGGTCAAACTCTTCATATGGGTATTGGATACGTAGTCTGCGACCGTTCGTTTGTAGGTCTCATTGTTGCTATTTAGTTCTGGGGAGTGGTTATAGATGTTTGCTAGGAGCTCCGAGAATATTTGAT